TATTTCTTGTTAACACAAACCTGCACTTCCTTGGCACTTGCTAAAACAGTTCAGGTGTTTCAGCCACTTAGACCCACCTGCACTATGCCTCCCAGGCTGCCTCCAGGGTTAGTGAGGTATTTCCAGGTAAAAAGTATTGGTCCCACTTGAGAGGTAGATAATTATGACTTAAAACATCTCCTAAACTTGTACCCAGTGGTCGGAGTCATGGGACCAGAGGAGAGGGGGCAGCACAGATCTTGAGGGTCCCCATTCCACAAAGATCTGTTTAGAAGACTCTTCCATAGTGGTGGCACACATGTCTTTAATCCCAGCTAGCCTGGTCTCCAGAACAGGCACAGATATACAGAGAGACACCTTATCTTGAAAAAGGAAATAGAGATAGAGAGAGAGAGAGAGAGAGAGATAGAGATAGAGATAGAGATAGATAGATAGATAGAGAGAGAGAGAGAGAGAGAGAGAGAGAGAGAGAGAGAGAATGACTCTCACCACTGCCTTGTGCAAACCAGGCCTTCCATACAAGTTACCTTCCTCATGATCTTCCGGCCATAAAACATTACTTTGTCTCTCTTCCGGAACCTGTACTGAGGAGTGGGCTCTGCTTGTCCTGTGAGAAGAGGGAAGGGGCACTGTGAAATGGCAGGATCTCTATATAGCCTTGAATGGGTAGGAAGTGAACATGGCTGCAACTAAAATAAAATAAACTACAAGCAAAAGACAGGCCCTGAGTATGAAGATGCTGGCAATAAACCATGCTCTGGGCTGCCCTATCCCCGGCTACCTCTCAGTAGGGTAGACAGGAGTTTCTTCTGTTCTTACTGGATCCTAGTTTTTGGAAAGAGCAGAAAGGGCTATGGACAGACTGGGAACCTCAACCTGAGCCTCAGTAGGTGACCACATTCAAACAAGGTTGTGAGGGAGGTTCCCAGGAGCTCCAAATAACTCATAGGACACAAATGCAGACTCCCATCCCACCCCACCCCTGACACTGCTCAGCCAGAGTTCAAACCAAGATACTCACGCAATCTGCTCACCCTTCTGTACACAAAAAAGATGGTAACACCAACAAGGGCCAGGGTAAGGAGGACTCCGATTACAATCCCAACCAGCTACACAGGATGGAAGATAGATAACAGTGTCGGTAGGGCCAAACACAGCCACAGGTTAATGAGGAACCAGCCCCTGAGAATCCCATAGTGATTACCATGGTGGACTGTGAATGCTCCTCCATGAAATGCAGACCCCAGGAGCTCAGGGTGCTCCCCAAACAATAGCCAGCCTGAGGAGAGAATAGACAGGGCGCCCAGTTTCTCAGCCTGGGCTTGGTCAGAGAACAAGAGTAAAGTCAGGAGCTGGGGAGAAAGTCAACAGCCCTGAAGATTTAATGGGGGATACCAGATAACTCAGTGGATAAGGCATTTACTGACAAGTCTGATGACCTGAGTTTAATCCTGGAGACCCACAAGGTGTTAGGGTAGAACAGAGTTCCATAAGTTGTTCTCTGACCTCCACATCCGTGCCATTACATTTGCACTGCTACACACATATGCACAGAAATTATATATATGTGTATATGTATATGTGTATATATATATGTATATGTACACACACACACACACACACACACACACACACACACACACGAGAGAAATGATCTTACCAGGGGTACTGAGACCCTCTGAGCTCAACTGCAAGAACAGAAAAGCAGTAACCTGTCTCCTTTGGCAGTGGGATGAGTAAGTACAATAGCTGTGCTATTGGCAAATGCATGCAAATTAATAAACCCAACTTCCAGGATGGAGAAACGGTTCAGAGGTTAAGAGCACTGGCTGCTCTTCCAGAGGTCCTGAGTTCAATTCCCAGCAACCACATGGTGGCTCACAACCATCTGTAATGGGATCTGATGCCCTCTTCTGGCCTGTAGGCATGCATGTAGACAGAATACTGTATATGTAATAAATTAAAAAAAAAAAAATAAGCTAGACTTTTGGCTCTCCAGTTCTAAAGAAGCAAGCCTAGGAGAGGTCAAGGCTCATGTCTTGGTACCCTCTGGATACCAACAGGACCAGGGCCACAAACCTCCAAGATCCATGATAGCCCACTCAGAATAAGTGCTCAGAAATTCCTAACAGTGTATAGAGTTACTGATGCCCACATTCATTGTAGTCCCTGAAAGGATGAGGCAAGAGGATCATGTACACCCAGGTGATCAAGCCCTGCCTAAACAACCAGTGAGGACCAGTTTTAAAAACAAAAAGGATGAAGAACAAAAAGAAGCCCCAACGGAAGATCCATCTGGATTCAGACATATCCAAAATCATTTTGCATGCCAAAGAAGAAATGGCAGGGAGAGCTGTGTCTCTGCCCACTGCTACTGCCAGGAAGGCACTAACAGCACTTACAGTGTCTAAGGAAGGGAAGGAGGCAGGAGAGCAAGGGTTCAGGGCATAATGGTGAATGGGGAACAGCAGGGGAAGCTGAAGACAAAAGAACCTGCCCTGCAGCATTTCCTCAGTCCTCTAGTACACATCTACCCCTTCTTTCCAAGAGGTTAGGAAGAGCCCACTTCCTTATCCTTTGCAGTTTCTGCCTAACTGCCAAGGACCAATGCCTAGCCTTAAAAACAAGTAAACAAAAAACAAGCCTCAGACTCAGCAATCCCTGCCAGAAAACCCAAGGAGAGCTGGAGGCCACTCAAGAAGGAACCCCAAAGGCACAGTTGTGCATCCTAACAGAGTAAGTGGGTTGCCTAGAAAAGAACCTTGTCATTTTAGTTTGGGAGACAAATAGCTGAGTATTGTTTAAGGGTGAGGAAGAACCTCACCGATGAGTAGTTCACAGGTGACTTCACCACTGTGTGGATGTCACAGGGTGCATTTCTACAAGCACTATTACCCTACCAAGCAATACAATCTGTGGGATCACTATTGCATGTGGTCTGTTGTGCAATGTATAGTCAATATGCTTTTTGTTTCAAAATTGAAGCACTCAGTCTCCCTTATCCTCTGCCCCAGCTTAGTTCTCAAGACTAGGGTGCACAAGAGCACCCCAACCACACCTACTTTCCTCGGAGCCTACCTTATCCAAGAAGACACTCTTACATGCATACACAGACACAGTGGACCACCTCAGCCTGTCTAGCATTTTATGGTTATTCTAATGGTCTATTCTTCTAGCTTAAAAATAAAGGCACAGGGTATAGTGGCAGACATCTTTAGTTCCAGCATTTGGGAAGCAGAGGCAGGTGGATCTCCGTGAGTTCAAGGTCAACCAGGTCTACATAGTGAGTTCAAGAGATATGTAGAGTGACCTTATCTCAAAAACAAAACAAAACAAAATAGTCCACCAAAAAAAAAAATTGGGCCCTTGGGATGTGGCTAGTGTTGAGAAAAAAAAACTCTTCCAACATCAAAAGTTCTACTAGAAAGCAGGGAAGTAACAACTACTACCTTAATGGAAGAAAGGCTTCAATAATGACTTAACAGCCAGGTCCCATTGTCCACTGTGAGGAACCATTGTCTAGTAACAAGAGTCAGTTCTCTGACAGGCAGTCTCCACTCCCACATTATCTGGGTCTTCAGGAAGCCTGTGAAGAAACCTGAGGCAAATGTCCTTCTGCCCCACCTGAGAGTTCTAAGAGTTCTGGTTCTCACCCATGCCTGGTCTACCTACCTCAAGGCAGAGATCTTCCTCTTTCTGCATGACTGAAAGCAAAGTAATGTGGAGGGCGAAAAGGAGACAGGCTGAGACAAACTGCTCCACCAGAAACCTTTACAGCAGGACAGCTGTAGTCCCAAGCCTTGCCAGCTCTTTTCCAAGTCAAACGCTCTTATTGGAAGGGACTCCAGAACTCTGTGCTCCAAAACAAGTTGTTTTCCAGAAGCGACTGCTCTCTCTGTGCTTCCGTCTCCTGTAAACAGCCCTCACGTGGTCTTAGGGGAACCCATAACTGTGGCACGGAGTGGGGGCGAGAGTGGCGGTGGGGGATGGGGAATTGAGCGGTACGGTCAGGGATCTAGCAGCCACACAAGCAGCGGCTTGCGGGTGGGGGAGGAGACCAGAAGTCTAAATTGGCTGACAGACAGTTCAGGGAGGCGGGACTGTTGATACTGGTGGCATAGCTAAGAAAGTGGCTCAGGTACGAGACGGAGCAACAGGCAGAAGAGGAAGGCGCGGAGAAGAGTGACCCAAGTGGAGGGTTGAGTGGCTGGGGATGAGCATCGCCCAGGAAGCTTGATGTCTCCAAGGGGAGAGACGAGGGATGGAGCATAGAGGGCTTACAGCTCAATAAAGATCTGGGACAAGGGCGGGGGAGGAGGGGAGGTGTCACAGCCCAAAAGGGGTGAGGGACGGGAAGGTTATAGCTTAGGAGTGATCAACGAAGAGTCGTGACAGGGAGGGAGGGAAAGGAGGTCAAGGTACGGAGGAGAGAGGGGTGAAGGGTGAGGAGAGGGGCCCAGCTAAAGCAGGCAGCGTGTGAACAGACAACCCAAGCACGGAGGGTGTGGGCCAAAGATGATTAACTTAGAGGACCACTAGGACCCAAGTAGACTTGGCCACGCGCCAGATCGTGGGCTAGACCGCTGGTCACTAGCCCCATCCTCAACAGCGCGTCAATCCCGGAAGCCACGGCTCAGTGGTGACTGGGAGGGTCCACAAGCCTCGTCCCCCAGGACGTAGGGCAGCACCGATGACGCCCGAGCCACTGCGGTAGCCGGCCTCCGGCGCAGCGGTTGTGAACGTCAGGTCGCAGGGCTGACGAGGGCCAAGGGCGACCTCTCTACAAGGCAGACCTAGACCGCCACCTCGCGGCGCAGACGCGCGACTGCGCACGCCCCACATCCGGTTCTGCGCGGCTGCGCGGATTGGCCGGGTCCCCTCGGCCAGGCTGGGCATTGGGCGCATTGACAACCAATCCACGAGGCTCTTGCTGCGGAGTGGCTGGCCCTGCCGACGGCCGGAAACGCGAGGGAGCTTCTTACCTTGGTTGTTTTACACCGCTCAGGTCTGGCTATTGGTGTCTGATCTGTCTCAGGTCCAAAGGGAGAAGAGGCCTGCGGGCCGAGCTGGAGAGCCATCAGCCCAGGTCGGTGAGCGTTTCCAGTTGGCGCCGCCAGCGCGGGGTTCTTCGGGGTCCGGGATCTTTCAGGGTTAGGGGTCTTCACTTGTTGGGGTCTTGGGTCCTCTGACCCCGTGGCTCCTTGGATCATCTGCACCCACAGGGCCCACAGCATTCTCTGCCCTTCAGTTCTAGGTACTCAGTCCGTCTGGCTCTGATTGGCCCCCTCAACTGCCTTATTCTTTCAGAGCTGTCTTCTGCAGAGCCCACTATGGGTTTCCTGACCGCCGTTACTCAAGGCCTGGTGCGGGGAGCAGATAGGATGAGCAAGTGGACAAGCAAACGGGGACCACGCACCTTCATCAAGAGCCGGGGTGCCAAGAGAACGGGCATCCATGGCTCTAATGGGAAGTTTGTGCAGATAAAGGAAATGGTCCCAGAATTTGTCGTGCCGGACTTGACTGGCTTCAAGCTCAAGCCTTATGTTAACTACCGAGCTCCTGCAGGCATAGACACACCCCTGACCGCCAAAGCGCTCTTCCTGCAAACAGCTGCACCTGCTATTGAAAAAGACTTTAAAGAAGGGACTTTTGATGCTAACAACTTGGAGAAATATGGCTTTGAGCCTACACAGGAAGGCAAGCTGTTCCAGTTGTATCCTAAGAATTTCCCACGCTAGGAAACAGTGACAGTGACCAAAAGTTTGCCTACAAAGTGGATACAAACCTTGGATTCTGAGTGTCTCGAAGAATAGGAGCAGCTTCCTTATGCAGTTCTATTAAAGGCCTTTAGTATCTCATACAATGTGTGTTTCCAATCAAGTAATTGAAGTGTGAAGTGTGCTGCAGGCAGAATCCATGAAGTAGCTACAGAATCCATAGCCAGGGCTAGGCACCACTCAGGCTCCAAGGGAAAACTAAAGACAGAAGTGATAAGAGCAGTTAGTGCCAAACTGCTTTTGCGTGACCTCAGGCATATGTCCCATTTAAGACTTAGCTGATCCTCATGTTTGTTTAGCACCTTTGAAACAAATTGGGCCAGTAACTGAGACTTGATCCCTTTAATGGCAACAAAAAAATTAAAAATGTTATCAGAAAATAACACAAGGACTGGGGAGAGAGGTCATCTCATACAGTGCTTGCCATGCAATCATGAAAACCCAAGTTAGGCCCATGTAACAAGGCAAGTGTGATAGCCCATGCTTGTAATCTCAGCACTAAGAAAGAGACCCGCAGGATCTCTGCTCAGTCAAGTCTAGTCTAATCAGCTAACTTCAGATCCCAGTAAGAGACCTTGCCTCAAAAGACAAGACCATCTTGAATGGAACCTTAGAGTGACCTGTACCTGCCACACTAAAGCATATATGTACGTACACAAGCTAAATCTCAAGGCATATTATTGCATTTAAGAGATTAGGGAGGGGTTTAAGTTTGATTCTATTTTTTTGTTTTTTGAGCTAAGTCTTTCTACATATCTTTAGCTGCCCTGAAACTCACTATGTAGATCTCCAGGCTGGCCTCAACCTCATACCTATGAACTCAGTGTTTGGGAATCTGAGGTAGGAGGTAGGCCTCCCAAGAGTTCAAAGCCAACCTGCCTGGACTACATCATGTGTTTATGATTAGCCTGGAATATATAGGCATGGGAAAGGAAGATAGCTGGCTGGGAGTACAGCTCAGTGCTAGATGTTAATAAGTTATCTAGCATGTGCGAGTCCCTGTATTTCATGCCCAATAATTAAAAAGACACTTATGTATCTTACTGAGGGTTAGTCACATTCCAATGCCCTCTTTCCTCCTAGATAAGACATTAAAAACGGGAGTCTTGTTAGCTATACACCCCGATGTGTTTCTATAGTACCCATCTAGCTAGACGTGAAAACTGGGGAAATTATTAACGCTAGGAAGAAGTGAGTATTCCATATTGATCATGCCAAATACTTAAAATTTAAAATGTTTACAATCCTTTTATTCTACTACCCATTTTAAAAATGACTTCAGAGCTGGAATAGTGTTTGGTTAGCATGCAAATGCCTGAGAAGTAAAACCTCTCTAGGAAGTAACTTTTTTTTTTTTTTTTTTTAAGATTTATGTATTTTAGGGCTGGAGAAATGGCTCAGTGATTAAGAGCACTGGCTGCTCTTCCAGATGCCTGAGTTCAATTCCTAGCAACTATATTGTGGCTCACAACCATCCACAATGAGGTCTGTTGACCTCTTCTGGTCTGCAGACATACATGTAGACAGAACACTATGTAATAAATAAATGAACCTTTAAAAAAAAAAAAAAAAGATTTATTTTATGTACATTGGTGTTTTGCCTGCATGTTTGTCTGTGTGAGGGTGTCAGACTCTCTGGAACTGGAGTTACAGACAGCTGTTATGTGGGTGCTGGGAATTGAGCCAGGGTACCCTGGAAGAGCAGCCAGTTCTCTTAACCAATGAGCCATTTCTCCAGCCATAGGAAATAACTTGTGATAAAGTGAGACTTTATAAGTTGGATGCCTGGGAGCCACATGGTAGGAGATCCAACTCCTGCAAGTTGTCCGCTGATCTTTGCATGTGCACAGTGGTATTTGTGTACTCACACACAAATTACAAAAACAAAAACAAACAAACAAACAAAAAAACAGGGACTGCAGGCTAGAGAATGTTCAGGGGTAAAGAGTATTGCCTTCTCTTACAGAACCCACAAGGTAGCTTACAGCTGTGAGCTACTTCTACATGGCCCAACACTCTTTTGACCTCTGATAGTATTATGCATACATGCGGAGCACAGTAAAACACTTGTACACATAGAATAATTTTGTTTTGTTTCTTCAGAAAGGGTTTCTCTGTGTAGCCCTGACTGTCTGGAACTCACTCTGTAGACCTGGCTGGCCTCAAACTCACATCTGCCTGCCTCTGCCTCCTAAGTGTTGTGATTAAAGGTGAGCTTGTTGGGTAAGAACAAATCTTAATCTTTCTTCTTCTTGTTGTTCTTCTCTTCTTCTCCTCCTCCTTTCCTCCGGTTTCTCTGTGTAATAGTCCTGGCTATCAGTAGACCAAGCTGGTCTTGAACTCAGAGATCCACCTGCCTCTGCCTTCTAAGTGCTAGGATTAAAGGTGTGATCCTCCACCACCAGGCTAAGAGCATATATTTTTGCAGAGGACTCAAATTTGGTTCCTAGGACCCACATTTTACTCACAATCACCTTTAACCATAGCTCCAGGGGGATCCACTGCCCTATCTGTCTTCTTCCAGCATCCACACACAGACATGCATGCATATAATTACAATTTATAAAAAATTAAAAAATTTGAAAAGTAATTAATGTAAACAAGGATTTAAATACAAATAAAGGGCTGAAAGTCAAAATATACCAAGACACTTAGTTGTAGAGCTGGAAAACCCCACTCATTGCCAAAACAGAATCAAAGTCCACTCTCAAGTCACTCACATCCAGCATGGATGTAAAGAGTGCAGCCTCAAGCTTGCTTTGTCTCCCACTTCCAGAGGTGGAGAACATGGTCGTAAAAGGAGCAGGTGGCCAGAAGGCTATTGTCAAAATTCCCTCCACTAAAGAGGCTGAGATCACAGATCTTGGAAGAGCGGCTGCTTTTCATGTCCTCTGTTAATGGAAGGAGAGAAGTGTTCAATTCAGCTCTGCTGTGAGCTTTAGTGGGGCCTTCCACATGGTGGTTCTCTATTTGTTCTTGGAAAGGTGCTGGTGGCTCCTCTGCAACCTTCAGGTCTGCTGCTTGGGCTCCCATGCCATTTTGATCAAAGGACCAGGTGGGTGTGGGCTTCTTCAAATGGAAAAGAAGCCAAGACCAGTCAGCTCCATACACTAATGAGTTTGGCATTTCGTGGGATATTAAGACAGTCATGTCCTCCTTCTTCTCTGCAGTGAGACAGAGAAAAACCAGTATTACTCAAAGCTAATCAGCCTCCATTTATGTCTCTCCTCAACTCCTCCACCAAGGACAGCCCACATTCATTGAGTCGCTGGCAAGTCTGTATAAGAAGAATGAAGTGCACAGATGGGCAGAAAAGAAACCAGATATGCATTTTGCAATGTGCACTGTGCCTCTGAGATCAGCCAGGGCTAAAACAGACCCACAAACAAGGGACATGTTTCCAAACTGCAGGATTCAGCAAAAGCTTTTGAGAAGGGGGTGTAACTCATTCACAGGGGTAAAATGGGAAGAGGATAGAAAAGAAATGGGGAGCACAGGGCAAGAGAGAGAGCTCAATAGTTAAGAACACTTGCTGCTCTTGTAAAAGACCTGGGTTTGGTGCACAACACTCACATGGCGGGTAGTAACTGCCTGTAACTCTAGTTCCAGGGATTCCCAAGCCCTCTTCTAGCCTCCTCAGGCACCAGGCATACACACAGTGCCCATACATATATGCAAGCACTCAGACATACACATAGAATAAGTATTTTGAAAAGAGAAAAATGGAGAGCAGGTGTGCAGTACAGAGGCTAAGAAGACTAGAGTAAGTGTGAGGAACCAACAGCTACTGCCTCTGGCTGGAGCACAATGGCTAGGAACTTGCAGTCCTGAGCAGATCTGCAGTGGACGTTTCTTTCTAGTAACTTCCCCAGACAGCCCAAAGGAAAGTGTCACAAATACGCCAGGACACAGCACAACAGTATAGAGCCACAAGAGCATGGAAGAGACACTACAGACAGAAAGGAAATTTTCTTAAGGACAGAGCAAGGTGACAGCTGGTAAAAGCAATCCTCAAGAACCAGCAGGGAGCCGGGCGGTGGTGGTGTACGCCTTTAATCCCAGCACTGGGGAGGCAGAGGCAGGCGATCTCTGTGAGTTAAGGCCAGCCTGGTCTACAAAATGAGTTTCAGGACAGCCTCCAAAACCACAGAGAAACCCTGTCTTGAAAAACCAAACAACAATAACAAAAAAAAAAAAAGAACCAGCAGGGACACCAGATACGGTTGTTCCCGTACTTCCCATGCCCACAACACTGAGATAGGATAGCCATCAAGTTCAAGGCCAGCTTCAATTGAAGCCTGCTTGTATTACATGAGATCCTGGAGATCCTGTCTGCAATACATACACACAAATTAAAAATCTTTTTAAAAAAGAGAAAGAAAGCTGGGTGGTTGTGGCACATGTCTTTAATTCCAGAACTCAGGAGACAGAGGACAGCCAAGCAGCCAAGTCTACATAGAGAAACCCTGTCTCAAAGAAGAGAGAGAGAACTAAAAAGATACAAGGAAGTAGTGACTTAAAGAGCCAGTTGGTGGTGGCTCATACCTTTAATCCCAACACACTTGGGAGTCAGAGGCAGGTGGATCTCTGTGAGTTCAAGGTAAGCCTGGTCTACAAAATAAGTTCCAGGACAGCCAGGGCTGTTACACAGAGAAACCCTGTCACACACACACACACACAAAGCTACCAATTGAATGATGGGATTCTTTGGATTAGATTGCTTCTTTTCAGGGGGAGTAGAAGAGAAGGGGTATAAAGAAGAGAAACTGTGACTGAAGAGTGAGGAGAGAAAGGAGTTAGGGCTTGATGGGAAGAGAAAGGGGGATGAGAAATGTTTCTGATAGTGGAGTTCATGTTGTGGTTCACACAGCGAAAATCTTTCAGCACACCCTAGTGGTGAGGCTCTTTACTTACAGCCATGGGTAGTTAGGCTTAACTAATACTAGGTTCTGTGAGAAAGGGAACAAGAAGACAACACATGTGAGACATGAGTTAACCAGAGTCCAAACCATTCACGGGCAGAGAAATCAGAAAGGCAACCGGACTGTGGTACACTGACTCCCTGCCCTGAGGCCAGCTCTTGCCCCCACTTACCAATGGTCTGCTGGCAGTTGAGAATCTTGAAGCCACTGTGCATGCAGGCCGCCAGGAGTAGGTGGTGGTGGACTGGGTGCCACTTGAGCCTCCACACGCCTCCTTGCACTGGTACATCTGCCAATGGCTGCTTTATGTTCCGAGTGTCCCACAGCAGAACATGCTCATCATAGCTGGAACCATCCAATCATTGTCATATAGGAAAGTCCCTAAGACCTCCCAAGTCCTGTCCCACTAATATTTTCTGAGACAGGGTCTCACTATGAAGTCTTGGCTGACCTGGAACTCACTATACAGAAAAGGCTGGCCTGAAACTCACAGAGATCCACCTACCTCTGCCTCCTTAGTGCTGGGGTTAAGTCCTGCACAAACTGCCTGTCCCACTTATCTTTAAGGACATAGGTGAACCCCATTTTATGGACCCAGATACTTGAAGTATTGGTTGAGAGCTTTAGACTCAGTTTTGAAGTTGTTGTAGAGAGGTGAGAAATGCACAAACCAGCAGACCCACTCCAGGGCTTACCTTCCAGTAGCCAGAATATGTTCCTGGTGGGGGTTGCTCTGGATGCTACACACACCCATGGAGTGTCTATAGGCAAAGGGGAGCAAACATGTTAGAGGACGAAATGTCCTAAGACAGGAGCATGGAGGGACCATGCACAAGCTCTGATCAGCTACCTTTTGCTAGTGAAGATAGGTGTGCCAAGCATCCTAGAGTCCCAGCCTCTCAGAAGGCCATCATCTCCCCCTGTAGGAAGACAGAAAAATCCACTAACAATGACATTCAGGTAAGGAATCTACAAAAAAGTCTCTTAGGTGCTTTTTGTGTGTGATTTTGTGGTACCACTGGTTAGGAAAGCCCCAGAGAGACATCAGAAACAGTCACTAAGCACTCTATCTTCCAGTTCAGGGGAACTTGGTGGTGTACACCTTTAATCCTATCAGAAGACCAGGAGGCAGAGGCAATCAGACCTCTGTGAATTTGAGATCAGCCTGATCTCCATAGTGAGTTCCAGGACAAGACAGCCAGAGCTACACAGTGAGACCTTGTCTCGAAAAAACCAAACAAACAAACATGATTTTTTATGTTTTGCCTACATGCATGTATATACACCAGGTGAGTTCCTAGTTCCCATGGAGGTCAGAAAATGGCACCAGAGTACCCAGAACTGGAGTTACAGACACTTGTGAGCTGCCATGTGGATGCTGAGAACTCAACCTGGGTCCTCTGCAAGAGCAGCCAGTTAGTGCACTTAACCCGAGTCAGAAAAAGCACTTTCATTCTCCTCTGGTTAACAGGCCCCAGGCTCTGCACTCCTATTCTGTAACCTGTAACTAACCAGAGACCCTCTTAAACTTTAAACGGTGAATCAGAAAACGCCACTTCTCTGCAGTTACTCCACTTCACTCCAGTCCCTCTTGCAGCCTGCAGAACCCTGAGGCCTGCCCTTGTTGTCTCTGATGGCAAGCACTTATGTTCTCACATGTACTGTGCTGGCTGCTCTTCTCTCACACCAGGCCCTCACCTGCTGTGGGGCCTACTCAGTGCTGTCCCAACACACCCTTCTTCCTTCTTTTTCCAGAACGTTATCACACCTCTGACACTCTGTGCCATTCCCTGTTATTACACATCAGGCTTCCACTTTCCCCCTCAATGTGAGCTTGGAGAAAATAGTCTGTTTGCTAAGCATTCCTATTATATTAATTGCTTGTACTTCTGTTTGTGATTCTGCTTGGTTTTGGTTTTTTAATTTGGAGGAGGATTGTTAGTTTTGGTTTTGGGGTTTTTGTTTCAATTTTTTTTTTTTGTTGTAGGAAATGAAGGTTATTGTGTATAGCTTTGCTTGGAGACAGTCTGGCTGTACAGGTAGCCCAGCCTAACATCAGACTCACAATAATACACCTTTCTTAGCCTCCAGAATACTGGGATTACAGACTGAACCTCCATGACAAGTTCAGGAAGTACCTGTGGAGTGAATAAAGCGGTAGAACTAATCCTAGAATTAAAGAACTTCAAAAACAGGGAGTGGAAAAAAAAGAAGAAAACTTAAAAAATGGACTCTTCATGGTTCTTACAAAAATAGTTCAAGGGTATGATAGCAAATAACACAGATATGGACCTTGCCCCTGGAAAATAAAAATAAGCATTATTCATATAATAGTAACCATGGTAAATGCTAGGGCTAGTCAGAGATTTGACATGGACTGGGGTACTGAAGGTAGTAGTGTTGGTTCAAGCTTCTCACTAGAAACAGAACCAAAAGAGTGGCCAAGGCCTTTAATCCCAGCACTCTGGAGAGCAGAAGTAGGTGGATCTCTGTGAATTCCATGCCATGCTACATAGTGAGTTTCAGTACAGTCAAGACTACATAGACACCCTGTCTCAAAACAAACAAACAAACAAAAACCAAACAAGACCAAAAAGGGAAGCTGGGGCTAGACCACACAAGGCCCCGGGAAACTCAAGTGTTTTAAATTTTATCCTGTCTTATCCAAGATCATCCCTTCCCAGCTCACATAACTTAGCTCCACCTGGGAGAGAAGCCACCCAAACAGCCAATTTTGTCAATTTCTCATTCTCATACAAACAGCCCCAAAGTGATAAACCACTCAAAAACTAGAAAACCTACCTACTTCCCCCATGTCCTTTCCTTTTGGAAGGTTAGCTGGATCTAGAAAACGACAAACCCAGCCAGGTCATGGAGGCACACACCTTTAGTCCCAGCACTCGGGAGGCAGAGGCAGGCTTCTGTGAGTTTGAGGCCAGCCTGGTTTACAGAGTGAGCTTCAGAACAGCCTCCAAAGCTACAAAGAGAAACCCTGTCTGAAAAACACCCCCATTCCCCCAAAAAAGGACAAACCTGAAATCCGTGTGACAAAGTCTACAGAGAGCAAGCAAAAAGTAGATGATTCACAGTGAAAATACCAGGAAACTGGGCAACTTGACAGGGTGCCTGCTCCCTCCAGCCTTGGCCAGCTCTACACAGAGCTTTAGGTGCCAAAGGCCAACTGTTCATATTTCCTGAGAAGTGGGATGTGGTAGTAGCCATAGCTGCAGGCCAGAGGATGTATCTTCCATAGACAGTCCTAAGGTCACAGATTTGGCCTAGCCCCATTCTCTCCTCTCTCTGTCCTTCACAAGTCTTCATCAGAGATGAGTATACTGATGTCCAACTCACCTGAATACACAAGTTCTGTCTGCCAGTAATTGAAAGCAGCAATCCAGGCCTCAAAGTGATGGGCTGGCCAAGAAGCCACTAGCTGTAGTTCAGCTGCTCCCTCATTCAGCATCAGGAGGTGCAGCTGCCCCTTAGAATCACTGCTAATGATCTTCAAGGGCTGGTCTCTGGCCCTAGAAATGAGGAGCCAAAGGACGGCCTATTAAACTCTCCTTACCATTCTGTTCTGGGTTTCTTTTGTTTGTTTTTGAGACAGGTTTAATGTAACCCAGGTGGGCCTTACACTTGAAGTCCACCTGCCTCAGCCTCCCAAATGCTGGTATTACAAGAAAGAACCATCACAATCATCCTCTTCTAGTCCCCATGTATTTCTCAGGTAGCATGCAATCATGCCTCCAAGATGGCCTCTTGGGTATCTGGCAAAGGAAGAAACTATCACATAGTTTGTCATTGAAACCCTGGTTGGCTTCTTTTGATGATGATGATGGCATCATCACTACTTATCTGAAATGCTACAGGTTTCTGTTTTAAGGTAACACCCAGGATTGGAGAATCAAGCTAGAAGGCAGCTTTAATCGTTTGTGGAATAGAAACAAGAATTGTTCCTCAGGTCACTCAGACCCCACCCAACTTGACCCTTACCTTCCATGTTTCCCAGTTGACCAATCCAGGGACAAGGACAGACATCTCTCCTCCAGAGTAAGGCTAGATATTGGTTGTAGGGTGTGACTGTTCTACTGGAGAGAAAAGGGACACCCTTGTCTAGGCAAGCCTCCATTCCCTGAAGGTGCTTCCTATATAAGCAACATGCATCAGTTACTTCTGTTTGTTTTTTGGGATAGAGTCTCCTACACTGCTCAGATTCATCTTGAACTTCCAAGTTCAAGCAGTCCTTTCACTTCAACTCCCCAAGTACTGGGGGTTGAGGCGGGCTCTGCCTTGCCTGGGTTTTTGTTGTTACTTATGTTTTAATAGTGCTAGAGATGGAGGTTTGAGGCCTCATGCATGACAGGCAAGCAGTCTGCCCCTAGTGTGCATGCTCAGCCACTAATTAACATCTTATCTATGAGTAAGCCCTTGTTACTTATCAAGGAAACTCATTCCTTAAGAAGGACTTTGCCTATAAAATAATTAAAAAACTAAAAAAAAAAAAAAAAAAAAGACTTTGCCATATATGTATAACCTTTGGGCAAAAAGGTTTCTCAGCATTGCCTTTGTGTACTCCTAGACACATTAGCCACTTTGTGGGTTCCACAAACCACTGCTGAAACATGCTTTGCCTCACCCTTGCCTTCAGAATTCTGCCACTCTACTCCCAGAGACAAGGAGAATAGAAACATACTACCATTTCTATGTCAGAAGCCTTTAAAACGTTATTTCTCTTGTCTAGGATCTATGTGAGCTTTATTATCTAAACTACCTGAATAGTGTTTGACGCCATAAGCAGGCTGCTGCACCAATGCTTTCTTGGATTTTGTGCTCCAGCCATGAAATCTGATCCTTAGACCCAGTTCTCCTTCTCTCATTCCTAGGACAAGGTTGCAGTGCACAGGCCTAAAGCAAGACTTTCTACAGAGGTACTCAGTTACCACCAGTCAGCACCTTCTAGATCTTCTTGAGCCCACAACAGCAACAGCATTAGTATGTGTCCCTGCACCCCAATTAGGGCAGTTTGTAGTTTGCTGATGTATTTCACCACCCCCCACAGATCTGATCTGGGCCCTTCCATAATAATCAGATAAAGTCATGGCACAGGGTCACTGTGAAACACATAGGGGACGGGATCTATTAGGATTTTAGCTCTCCCAATTACAGTAAGAAATATTTCTGGGCTAGAGATGGCTCAATAGTTAAAGCTCTTCCTATTCTTCCACAGGAGGAGAATTCAGTTCCCAGCATCCATATCAGGCAATTAATACTGCCTGAACTTCAGCTCCAGGAGACCTGACACTTCTTCTGGCCTCTGTGGGCACAGCACTCACATGCACAAAACTAAAATAGAAATCTTTTAAAAAAGAAAGACCTACATGATAAATTTACTGGTATTTCTAGCCTTGGTATAAACTTCAGACCTATAGATCACCTTCTATTGAGATACGCCATATGACCTCATCTCACTAGAACCCAGTATAACTTAAAATAGACTCCATGATTTCTTAAAACATTTATGACAAAGTCTATTATGGAGGAAGCCACTATAGGAAAATGTTTATCAGTAGAGACTCCTCATCAACACTCTCCACTAAGGTCCCTTTCCCATTAAAGCATGGTCCATCACTGACCTCATATTCCATCAGATGGAGCAGCTCTACAGATCCATTGGCGTTTGCCAAGCCTAAAAGTATGTGGCCAGACACTGGAATATGACACCTGATGGGAGAACACAGGAAAAAGTATGCATTCACAACTTGCAGGAACATCATGAATTGCAATGATTTGTTATATTTCATTTCTAAAACCAGGTTAGAGCCAACTGTTCTGTCTCCAATAAAGGCTCTCCAGATTAGTCTTGACTCTGGGGCTGGGAACTGATGAGGGAATGTCAAGCAGGGCTTTCTACCTCCCAGGCATTCAAACCAGATGGGTTACCCAAATCCTACCATTTCATGTCCAGGATGGCAGAACAATCCCTTCTCTGGATTTCAACCAGAGGTTTAGCTGTGTTGTCCTCATTGAAACTGTACAGGTAGAGACGACCTAAACGAACTTGAGACTTGTTGACATCCAGTGCAGGCTACAGAATAAACATATTAACTGGTTACCTTAACAGATACTGAGATCACAAAGGATGGGAAACAAAGCTAGAACAAAGCGGAGGGCCAGGACAGAGAATAGCTTCTGACTGAAATAGAAACTCTTAATTTCTGAGAAGATAATCCCTTTTCCTGCAAGTGTTCAATGTACAGGGGCGCTCTTCCGGACCTATTACAGCGAGGTCTGTTCCGACCTGCCTGCAGTTACATGGCCACAATTCCACTCTTACGTGGTTGGTTTTGGATGCGCAGAGAAACCTGCCGGAGATAGGGATGGTCCTGAGAGGTCCCACTTTACTCTCCCATTAGTTGTCACAGTTCTAGGCTTTTTATGGAGGCAAGCAGTCCCACTACTGCCCTTGCCTCACCCTCCCAGCCGCGCACCTGGTCCTCGGGCGTTCGCAGCTGGTAGGTCCCACAGGCCATCAAATGCTCGCAACCCTCTACTGGGCACCACTCCACCGAGTCTGCTGTAAACTCAGTGTCCACTGCCTGCAGAGCCTGCATCGTTCCCGAGCGGCTGCCCGCCATCGAGCCAGAACCAAAAGATGCATGCGCGATTGCCTCTCTACTTTCCTCAGGCACATCCGACCCTGGGAAGACTTCCGGTGCGGAGATCCTGCGCCCCCTACCTACCGGAGGACCGCAGGAAACCTGTAGAGTCATACTAGGTGCGGGAAGCCAAAAGGCTTAGTGAAAGGAAAAACTGATTTCAAGTAGATGCAGAAACCCTCAAGAAAATTCCTGTATTGTAAATAACAGGTTTGGGGAAACAAGGTTTTTACACCTTGTGGATCCAACTATTTCCCAAAAATATGTGTATGTTCAAGTTAACTCCAGTAACTCATAACCTTTGGAAATCTTTTTTTTTTTTGGGGGGGGGAGGGGGGACAGGGTGTCTTAGTGTAATCCTGGCTGTCTTGGAACTAGCTCTGTAGACCCGGCTGGCCTCAAACTCAGAGATTCACCTGCCTCTGCCTCCCAAGTGCTGGAATTAAAGGCATGCACCACCATGCAGCAGCAAAATGATGCTCCGAATGAGTTTTGGTTCAATACAGTCTGCATGTAAGGGAAAATTTGGAAACATGCACAGAGGGTTTAATGTTTCCTCTTAGGTCTGAAACAATGCATGAGCCCAGAATGTTATCAGATGTAGAGACATGCAGCACCTTTGCCCAGCACTTAACAGTGGCTGTAGCAGCAAGCACCTTGATGAAACCATGAGACAGACCCAAGAGACTATAATCTCTAGTTTTAGTCCAACCAGTTTTTGGCACTTAGTTACAGCAGCTCTAGGAAGCAAATTCACAGGACACCTGGATATCCAGCCTGGGAACTGAAGCAGGGATATGGCTTTATACACAGCTTGCAGGCAGGCCAGTTAGCAGCTGAAGTAGTGGCACCTAGGGCATTCTAAACAGACCTCAATCCCTCCAGCATTAGATTGTTCCAAGGTCAAATAGCCCAACAAACTACATAGAGGAGAAAGGATTCCATAATCGGACCACCAGAACATTCACAGAACAGCCTAGATGATTGGCAAGAAAGAACAGGAGGTAGGGAGAGATAATCAGAAAGGGTGGTCAGGGATGAAACACAAATGAAAGTGGCCTGATACACCTTCACTGCACAGGAGCATCTGTGCTAGCAGTATACAAGATCGGTGGTGGCGCACACCTTTAGTCCCAGGTCTTGAGAGGTAGAGTCAAGCAGATCTCTGAGTTCCAGGACAGGTTCCAAAGCTACAGAGAAACCCTATCTCAAAAAACCAAAGAGTTGATGGAAAAGAACCCACAGACTAGCCCAATGTATACCATCACCTTTACCAGCAATGCCTCAAAGTCAACTGTCTAACTCTTGTGTGTTCTCTAGGTGGAATTTTCTGATGCAAAGTTGACAAGAGTAAAGCAGCCCCTGCTAGTCAGGGAACAAAGATAGGATAAAGTCCCAACCTGGCCATTCTTAAATATCACAGCTTGTAGCCTAGATTGCTCATCCCAAGAAATTTGACCCAAATGGGAACTCTTTACAACAGTCCTAGCCACTTAAAGTCATTTATCCAAGTGGAGATATGAAAGGTTTGAGTCAGCTGCTGTAGGTAGCAATATTTTACAATATATACACACATCTCCCTTCCCCAATGAGATCACATGGATTGATGTTCGACCTAGGATCTGAGCAGGGATCCCAACTCTGCCATCTGAAAATCACCATGACCTTCAGAACAGAAAAGGTAAAGTTTCTTGATACAGGTTTGACACAGGAACCTGTTCAAGCTTAAACACTCAAGGGATGGTGTTACTGTGATTATTTCAGTTATCCTCTCCTCCAGGCCACTGTGACCACAAAGCAGAAAGTTACAGGAGCTCTACTCATAAACATAAGGCCATCAAAGGGTGTGCTCTGCTAAACAATGTAGAGTACAAGAGAATAAAGAACGTGACAAAAATGCAATAGGGAAGCAGGAACCTGCCAACCAGCCAACCATGTAGGAAGCTTGAAGCAGGAGGGACCCTACCCTAAGATTAAGGTTCCAGCCATATAGATATGTTCATTTCTGCAAAGTAAGATGACAAATAACCTGTGGTTCCCCCAAAGGGCTATCCTGATGACTACAACTCTGCAGTGGAGGAGGCATTAGTTCTGGTTCAGCTGCCTAGACTCTACCCTATCTACTCCACTTGCAATTGGAACTGGGGCAGCAGTACACTACTTGCTCCAGGGGTCTCTGTGCCTAAAGGTGATAATTTACAAATGCAGGGCTATATAGTACTGTGCTGGCTAGTTTCATGCCGACTTGACACAAATTAGAGTCATTTTAGAAGGCAATTATGAAAATGCCCCCACCAGATTGGCCTGTGGACAACCTGTCCTGAATTTTTTTTTTTTTTTTTTTGACTTTTCAAGGTAAGGTTTCTCTGTGTAACATCCCTGGCCGTTACTTAAATCTACCTGCCTCTGCCTTCCAGGTACTGGGATTAACTGTATGTGCCACCACCACCAAGCCCGAAGAAGAATTTCTTGATGAAAATTGGGAGGGCCCAGCTCATTGTGGAAAGTGCCAACCCTGTGATGAGAGCTATAAGAAATCAGGCTGAGTGAGGCCAGACATTGGTGGCACATGTCTTTAGTTCCAGCACTTGGGAGGCAGAGGCAGCTGGATCTCTGAATTGGAGGCCAGCCTGGGTCTACAGAGCTAGTTCCAGGACAGGCTCCAAAGCAATCAGAGAAACCCTGTCTTGAAAAACCAAAAAGAAAGAAAATACAGACATCAGGCCAGGCTGAGCAAGTCATGAAGAAATAAGCAACAGTTCTCAATGGTCTCTACATCATGTCCTGACTGATGGACAGTGATGTGGAACTGCAAGCTGAAATAATCTTTTCTCTCCAGGTCATGTTGTTTTTATAACAGCAATAGAAACCCTAACTAAAACAAGTACTGTTTAATAACTAAAACAGTAGCCAGCCTACTAAATACTCCATAGCACCTTTCACCAGACATTAACAGTTAAGCCTCTCTTGTGCTCCTAGCTAACATACTCTGCTATTCAGAGGCCAACTTGTGGAGTGCTATCAGGTCCTCTCGGTTCATTCATTATAAACAGTTCCATTAAAAGCAATTCCTCTCAAAAATAAAGCTGAGCCAGGCATGCTGAACACACCTCTAATCACAGCACTGGAGAGGCAGAGGCAGGTGGGCCTCTTTGACTTCAAAGCCAGTCTGGTCTACATAAGCAGTTCCAAGACTGCCAAGATTACATGGAAGGATACTAACTCAAGGGGGAAAAAAAGGCTGGAAAGAGGGGTTTGAGCAAAGACTGGCCACAAGGATGATTCTACCCCTTTACTCTTCAAGCTTCTCAGTGGGACCCCCTACTGACCAGGAGAGAAGCTCAACTACATGACAGTTTCTAGCAACTGTTTACCATTTGAGGAATACAACAAATGATTCTATTTGAAGTTTCTAACCCTCCCTTCACCGCCCCCCCAAAAAAACTGTACATGAGTTTACAAACATATTAACATATAAATAATGAGAAAGGTCCTAGGGAGCCTCCCCGTTGTCTCTGCTGGGGGTGAACACTGGAGGGGCACTGTCCCCACAGGCTTCATGTTGCTGTGAGGTCTTATGGCAGCTGCTCTGGATCCATTGCTGGCTTCTTTGGCACCTCCAGGTTCAACTGCCAGTCTGTCTCTCACTGTGCTCATGATGAGCTGGAAACCTTGAACCTGCAGCAGTAGCCACTCTTCAGCCCGTCATCGCTCTGGCTCAAGCTCATGCTGGAAGGGGCGCTTCCTCTCCCGACAGTGCTTCTTGTGGGCAGGCCAGTCCTTCTGCTGGCACTGAGAGCCACAGTATCGAGCCACTTGGCAACGCCCACAGATGTTGAACTCCCGAAGCTGAAAAACAAAACACCGTGGCTTCAATATCACACTAACAAAATGTATGGAAACTATCTCAGCATCTCGAAAAACACAGTAAAACCCTATGTGGGAATGAGTATGTTCCACATGCAAGGACCTGAACTCCAGTCCCAGCACCTGTTTCCCCCCCACCAAAAAAGCCAGGCATGGTAATCCCAGAACTAGGATGTCTGGTGCAGGATTGTGGTGATATCTGAACCAGTTTGATCTATAACTATCTACATTTATATAGTGAATTCCAGGCCAGTATGGTTTATAAATGGGGGGGTGGTGGTGCAACGACGACACACAGGAAGGTGGAAGTCTGGGACTATACAGGAACATCAGCTGAAGACCCTATGCCCTGTCTGAGCAAAAACAGCAGCAAAGGAAGAGTCACTCTAGTAGAAACCCAGTTCTACCCAGGTGTCTACAGAGAAAAGCTGCCACATTACTACAGCTGGGCAGATATAGCATACCATACCTGTTTCTCAATCACCGTACAAGGAGGGTAATGACACTCATAGTAGGTACAGGAATTCTCTTCCTCTTCCACCACATCTCCATTGGCATTATAGTACCGGGTCACATTCAGGACAGGGAACTGTTCTTCTATAGGGTCCGTGGGAAGCTGCTGGATAGCAAGCCAATATAAGCTTTGCTCCCTGAAAGAAAGCAAAAGCCTCAGTGAACTCTGACCAGACCAGATCAGTATAAAGAAGGGAAGATACCACTCCAAGTAGGCTCTGCCCAGTTCTGGCAATTTGAGTTTGGCCTGCCCATCACTACCACATGGATTTATCACTCCACATTAAAAACTTTATTTTTATTTTTTTTTAAGGTTTTTTTTTTCTTTTTCTTTTGAGACAAGGTTTCTCTTCTGGCTGTCCTGGAGCTTACTTTGTATATCAGACTGGCCTCAGAGACCCACCTGCCCCTGCCTCCTTAAAGGTATATACTACTACCACCCAGCCACATTAAACTTTTAATCCTAGCCAGGTGTCGTGGCAGTCAGAGCAACACAGTGAAGACAAAATACCAATAAATAAATAAATAGATTGATTCTGCCCCCTCCTTTTAATCCTGTCTCAGTAACACACAAGCCTAGAAGCCTAGTCTTATCACTCTTCCCAATGCTAGGGCCCATAGGCACAAAGCAGCATGGAGTTTGACAAGTTTGGCTACTTGGTGCTGTCAGAAAGACCTTCCCTATAACCTACCTAGGAAACACCAACTACTGTAAGCCTACTACTTCTCCTTTGAGGTTATAACTATCCCACCTTTCTGAAAATTCCCTCTGAACAAGTGAGCCAGAACTGATTGAATATTACAACAGGAACTGTAATCTCAGAAACTCTGCTGCATGTGGTGATCTAAAGGAGAAATGCCCCCTTAGATTCAGGTATTTGAACATGGCCCCCAGATGGTAGCACCGTTTGGAAAAGTTTAGGAGGTACAGATTTGGAAGTACGTCACTAGAGGCAGGTTAAGAGTTTAAAGCCTTGGACTACTTACACTCTGTGCTCTATGCTTCATTTTTCTGTGGGTGAGGAAGTAAGCTATCAGCTTTCTGCTATGACTGTCATGCTTGTTTAATGCTTCCTGGTCATAACATACTCTTATCCATCTGGAAATATATTCCAAATAAACTCTTTCTTCCTTAAGTTGCTTTTAGTCATGGTATCTTATCACAATCACAGAAAAATTGGTGCCAGAGTAGGATATTGCTGTGACAGACTTGATCAGGTTGTTTTGGGGAGGATTGCAGAGGTATTTGGAACAAATGGGATTGAAAAGCCAGAGTATTCTAAACTTACTGGGCTGTTCTGTGGAAGCTTCTTAATAAGTGTTGAAAGAAATGCAGTGGTGAAAACCTAGCTTGGGAGATGTTCGAGTGATTGGTCTATCTGAATTAAGGATCTAGCTGGGGCTGAAGAACAAACCGTGATTAACGAGCATCACTGAAATGAAATCCTGCAGCAAGTACTTTCTGTCAGCTAGCGGAGTTGTAGCCCAGAAGGAGCAAGGCTGCACATCAAGCTGGCAGGAAAACTTGGTAGTAAGAGTCTCTCACACAGTGATGGTTTTGGCAACAAGAAGTCTCAGGACTGAAGAGAGCAGCTGAGACCCAGGAGAGGCCACTGGCTAAACAAGGCACAGCCTCCCAGTTGGAAATCCCAGCAAACCGGAAATGCCAGGACTGTGGGATAAGCACAGAGGACAAACGCATATGTGGAGCAGACCTAGTATGGAACTACAAAATAAGCTGTGACATGATGTGGAAGGCAGAGCGAGAAGCGGTACAGAGCTGCCCAAATCCTGTGGATGTTTGATACTATATATTTATATTGTTGGCTTTTGGTTTTATATTGGGTTATCAACATTAGATTCTGGAGACAAAAAAAAAAAAAAGGGAGTTTCACTTAAAGTAGTACACATGTGTTAAGTTGGCAAAGGATCAATTATACTGATTAGTTTCTGCCAATCTGATACAAATTAGTCATTTGGAAGACAGCTTCAATAAAAAATTACCTCTATCAGACTGGCCTGTAGGCATGTCTGTGTGGGCATTTTGAGACATAGAAGGGCCCAAACCACTGTGGGCAGTATCACTCTTGGGCAAGTTGGCCTAGGCCATGTAAGAAAACAAGGTAAGCAAGCTATGGAAAGCCAATAAATAATATACTCTCAAGTAGTCTCCGCTTTAGTTCTGCTTCCAGGTTCCTGCTTGAATTTCTGTCCTTCATTACCTCAATGATGGATTGTGACATGAAGGGTAAACCAAATAGACCATTTCTTCCAAGTTGCTTTTGGTCATAGTATTTTATCATATTAACAGAAATCTAACAGGAATAGCCCTAATATGACTGCTGACCGACCATAGGTGAGTAAAGCAGACTTTGTGTGGGGCTTTGGAGAGGCATGGCTGACTTCTACACAGACACCATTTAACTGAACCTTACAAGCAATCTGCTCTCACTCAAACAAAACAGGACACTGGATATCCTCCTCTGACTACATGTGCCCACAGGCTCAAGCACTTTCCTCCCAGAAACACATGTATCCATTCTTTCTCTCTACACCCACTTACACACATACCAGATATGCTTCACAGGTCCTGGTCAAATCTGAGCCTGATTCTGCCAGCAAGAGGTACTACCTATCTGAAGGGCACAGCTTCAACCAAACATAGTCCAAAACTGGCTGAGCAAAGGGACAATAGGCCATCTGACCACAAACCTCAGCCCTCTACCCTCAGGACTGTAACTGTCTTTTTCCAAATAGAGGTTTTAACTGTAGTTGTTACATCTCATGATTATAAAGTATATTCAAAAGATTAAAGGTGGCACTCAACCACAGGATAGTTAGACTGTCCTATAGGGACCCTACTGAATATAGAAGTCTACCTCTCAGGAGAATGGTGGCCAGTCTTAGCTTCTCAGCTACATAGTAAGTTGAAGCCAGCCTAAGCTACATGAACCAATAAATAAATAAATAAATAAATAAATAAATAAATAAATAAATGGTGGTGCAGAACTGAAGACTCAAACCTCTGGTATCAAGAGTAGGAAACAAACCAAGCAGATTCGAAATTTTGAGACCTTCACAGGGCTGTATTCATACTCTGCAAAACAGCAGTTTGGCAACTATCTTCTAAGAACCTGGAGACCAACACTAAACATCAAGTGTAGAAGGCTGGGTCCTGTCACAGTTTCTATCAACAGTACGTGGAGCTCCAGCATCACCTGAAAACAATTGCTACAAAGATGTGCCTACTATCTGTAACAGCAACCTCACCAATGCTACTAGCGTCTGTTGGGGTGGTCAGTGCCAAGGAAGGTTGCTGAGACTTAAGGACATGTATAGAAACTCCTAGAAGCCCTCAGGGGAGGCCTATGAACAGGTCAATGATACCTTGGGACTATAGACTCAAATTCCCCCCAACCATTTCCTACTAGTTCCTCAGCTCTTCAAAGTTTCATGATCACTGTGGTTGAGTCTCAGGGCCAGCAAGAACACGATCTCCAGAATAGAAAGCTTGTTTTCAGGACCACAGAGAACTGGGAAACCAAGAGGCCCAGGCCCTAAGCCACTCTGTCCTACTAGTTCCTTTAAACCACTGCTCAGGGAAAGCTATCCAGTAAAGGAACATGAAAGAGACTCCTCTGTGTGGCTTTAGGGTATGGTCTCATTCCATCACATCACCTTAAATGTTCTTAGAGCCAATTACCACAAAAATCAGCATCCCCCTCCAAAAAAAAACCCCAAAAAATTAATCATAAAAATTCTAGAATCGGGCAGTGGTGGTGCATGCCTTTAGTGTCAGCACTTGGGATCCAGAGGTAGATGGACCTCTGTGAGTTAGAGACCAGCCTAGTCTACAAGAGCTAGTTCCAGGACAGCCTCCCAAAAAAAAAAACAGAGAAACCCTGTTTCCAAAAACAAAACAAAAAATTCTTCTAGCTAAGCATGAGGGTGTATACACACCTTTAAACCTAGCACAGGGGGAGGCAGAGGCAGGAAAATCTCTGTGCCTGGTCAACATACTGAGTTCCAAGGCAGCCAGGGAGACCTCCCCTGCCCCCAGAGAAAATTCTTCTCCCACGAAGAAAAGAAACCCCCCCATACATACACTGACGATAGCAGGTAAGATATCAAAGTCCCAAAATACTCACAAATAAAAGCCTAAAATAGGAACACAGAAACATGGGGTGGCCATTTAGGTGCCAGGTGTTGGCCAGGAAAGACCCACCTTTGTTTGCTGGAGGTCTCTTCAGCTTTGGGTCGCCAGCCCCATGGTACCAACTGCAGGTTGTCCAGGCGATTGTCCACAGTCACAGCATTGAGATGTACCACCTGAAACCCGGGAGCCACACCTCCCCTGTGTCGTTCCCTAGAGAAAAACAATTTTTTTCTTGAGGCAAAGACCCTCAAGCACTTCTACTTGCACATGAAAAGTCCAACTACACAGAAATGTCAGTCATGTGATCTGAACTGGACCCTTACCCTGCCAAAGGGGTATAACAAGAAGACGCTAAACATATCAGTCTGGCCCACACAAACAGGGGATCAGGCTGATGATTCTGCCCCTAGATTTAAGGCTTTTGCTCAGAGGGTAATGGACAGACCCCCTAAACCACCATAATAATCTAGAGACAAGTTCCCCATCAGGAAGGTCTCAACATTTCAAACCCCATCTTACACACCCAGGATCAACAGTCCATTTTCTAAGGATGAAACCTGACTTATCAGAAGAATCAAGTAGAACTCCTTCCTCCACAAGGCCTTGTCTCCTCAGAATCCTACCAGTTTAAATTGATATGTACATTAGCCATTACTTTGGGTTAGTGGTATAGGCCACAAAATAAACACCCAGACTTAGGGAAGATAAGGTTGAGTCTGACTCCTCTGGGTAGAATGCTCTCTAGCATTTAGGCTTACTGTGCATATCACAGCTCACATGGAGATCAGGTAGGGAGACTTATCAGCTGAAAAATACCCACCATAGCAGCTCATGCAGAAGCCTGCCCGAGCCCCTTCCTCGGTTTTTGTCAAAGGCATATGCAAATATCTTAGCACCATTTCCATCAGCATCTACTTCCATTCGAGCCTGAGAAGCACAGAGCAGAGTAGGTATGTTAGAAAGCCTCCAACTCACAGCAACATTTCAAATACAGATGATATCCCGCTTCAAGGACCCAAAAAGTACAGGGGCTTTCTGTTCCACTCAAGTAAGAAACTCTCATCAACAACTTGGGAAATATTATAGACACCAAGAAATAAATTTTTCCCACACTCAAAAAAAAAAAAAAAAAGTTCAGAAAAGGGGTGGAGGTGATACTAGAGATGTCTCAGCAGTTAGAGCACTGGTTACTCTTTCAGAGGATCTGGGCTTGACTGCCCAGCACCCACATGGTGGCTCACAACTAGCTCTGACTAGTGCACAGACATTCAGGTAACCATTAATACACTTAAGTAAAACCCAAGGAAAAAATATTTGAGAGGGGGTAAAAAGGTCACAAAGTTGGCTGTGATGGTCCACATCTGTAATCTCAGCACTCAGGAAGTTAAGACAGGGAGATTGAGTGTTCACAGCTGGCTTGAGGCAGAGCAAGACCCTGTCCAAAAAAAGAAAGAAAAAACAAAAACAAAAAGCCAAACCTACACACAATCCAAATAATTCCTGGACATGAAGCAGCTTTGAAAGTGTGAGGTGTCGGCCTCGGCAGTGGTAGCACATGCCTTTAATCCCAGAACTTGGGAGGCAGGGAATCTCTGAGTTTGAGGCCAACTAGGTCCACAGAGTGAGTTCCAGGACAGCCAGGGTTGTTACACAGCAGAACCCTGTCTTGGGGGGAAAGGGTATGAGGTGAGGTGCTAAGAGAGAAGTATGGAACTGAAATGACAGATGAGAAAGTTGCTGATGGGAGAAGGTGGTAGAAGTGCACCAGAGCCTGTAATTCTTTACCAAGAATACACTGAGGGCAGGATGGCTTCCCTGATCAGGGTGCAGTGGCTAGAGGACAGCTACCCAAAAAGGTCTTCGAACTTGGTTTAAGACATCTAATTACTTAATCTCAGCACTCAGTCTCAGGGCCCATAAAAATGGTTTCCTACCACACTCCCTCTCTCAGGTATTGACCAGAACAACAAGTAGGCAGGACTCCACAACTTGGGAGGCAGAGGCAGGCAGATCTCTGTGAGTTTGAGGATAGCCTGATCTACAGAGCTCCACATAAACTGTCTAGAAAAACAAAAACAAAATAGAGATCTAATCATAAATGCAACAAAGTAGAATGTTTTCAAAAAGATTAGTAATCAGGGTGAAAAAGGTTACAATGGGCTCTACCAAGCAGCAGAGTTCACGTAGGCTGTCACAACTGCTTTGTAGCTGAGGGCTCCTATGTGTCACTGGCAGTCCTCTTATTCTCCCAAAACTAGGAAGGAAACTAATTAATCATGTTTTCTGGGCATCAAATAAAAGCAATCCTTACCTCAAAGGAGTAGCTCTCCACCAGTGGTATGTCTTGCTCATCTATCAGTGTGTATTTGGTCTGAAAATAAACCATGTTTCAAAGGTTACATCTGAGACTGGAGAAACAGTAACACAACTAGCAGCAGCAGCTCTTTTCCAATTAGACAGAAAGTAACCACATCTTGGGGAGAGGGGGAGTTTGACACAGCCTACATTAAAGTCTAAGCTGGGCATGGTGGTACACACCTTTAATCCCAACACTCCAAGGTAGTGGCAGACCAAACTCTGTGAGTTCCAGGACAGTCAAGACCACATAGTGAGACCCCATATCAAAAAGGGAAAGAAAATCAAGGAGGTAAAAAGTACAATCCAGTATGTTAAAAGTAAAGCCGTTTGGGGGGGACGGGACCTAAATACAAACAAACAAAACCAAAAACTAAAAAAACCACCACCAACAAAACAAGCAAATCGCAATCACATGTACCAGAGCGGGTAATTAGGTTTCAGGGCCCATCCACACAGGATAGACCCTGACAAGTGGCAATGAGCTTTTAATGCACCCAAAAACTCAATCACAAGTTTCCTGAAGTAGAGGAAGGCAATGGGACTGAGAAGATTTCGGGTCTAAGTAATATTTATTCAGTAGGCTGGGTAGTTACTGCACATGCTCAATGGATAGTGCTTCTTCCTCTGGCCTCAAATATTCCTAATAAAAGCTTTAATGGCTCAGGTTGCAGCAATTAATTACTGAGTCGCAAGGCATCTAGGCTCTCACCCCTCCCTAGTCAGAAAGTTCTAGCAGTCCCTTTCCTGAGCTCTTGCAGAAATGCAAAGGAAATAGTTCTTAAGACGGGTTGGTCTTATTTTCCTGAAAAATCTTTCCAGAATCTCAGTTACCTGCCTCTACTTGGTCTGTTCCTCTTCCCACCACCAGCTGCAGCTAGTGATGGAAGGAACAGAGTTAGGCTCCATAGTTCCTGACTAACACTAAGCCTCGGAGCCCAGCCTCAACATGTGGTGGGTGGTGGCCCAGGCGAGGAGCACCTGGGAGCCTTTGAGCCTACCAAGATCTGGGCCCTGGCTCCTCGTCTGTGCTCTAAGGAAGCCTGCGACACGAGTGGCCGAACGTGTCCAGCCCTTGGGCAACGTTAATACACGCCGCCGCCGAGGTCTACTGCGGACCGGCTATTCCGCTCGCCTCAGAGCTTCGGGCCGAGGGCGTTACGGCGGGAGGCCGCCGCGTTTAAACCGTGCGGCCGCAGGTGCAGCCTGGCCGCCAGAGCCGCCGCAGGTGCTCGGGCCGGCACAGGCTGAACGCCGGGAACTGTTCCGCGCAAGCCAGTCCCACTCGAGTCCTGAGGCCGAGGGGCGCGCCCCCGGCCGCGGGGAAGGTTCCCGCGAGGAAGGCGGCGCCCGAACTGAGCAGGCCCGCGCAGCTACTCGCCCAGGTGCCCCAGCCCGCGCAGGCCTCGCCGCCGCTCCACACCGCTCACCTTCCCGGCCACCCGGCCGAGCCGCACGATGCCCAATTTAAAGTCGGTCATGGCCGGGCCTGCGCTCTCGGCAGGCGGAGCCGCTCCCTCGGGAGGCTCCCGACCGGGCCGGGCCGGAGCGAGGCCACGGCACTCTGGGTCAGGCCTGGGCCGGGGTCAGGCCGGGCGGGCCGCGGGCGGACGAGGCTGGGCCGGGCTCGGGCCACCGCCGCCGCCTCGCGCCCGCCGGACCTGCCACGCGCCGCCGCCACAGCCGCGCGCACCCCAGCGAGCGGAGCAGAGGGCGGGGCGCGACAGGGACACACCCCCCACCGGCGGCGACCGACCAATTGCAGGGCGCGCCCTCCGCCGGTCGTGGCGCGCCGCGGCCAAGTGACCAATAGGTATAACGAAGGAACGCAGGCGCAATGAGAAAGAACCGAGTGCGGGGGAGGGGCGAGCCGGGGGCGGCGCCTGCGCGGCGGCCGGCGCAACGTCAATTTCGCGGGAAGCTTTGTGCGCGCCGCGGCGGCTGCTGAGGCGGCAGGAGCGGGTGCATGTTGTTGCTGCTTCTTCGTGACACTATCCGCTTGCGTTCGCGTCTCTGAGTCGTGTACGGCGGGGCGACGTGGAACGTCTGTCCTTACCGGGTGTTTACGGTCTGGCAGCATGCCGTGTAAGTCCAGGTCTCCCGAGCCAACCTGCGAGGCAGCGGCGGGTTCACCTACGCTGTGCTTCCCGGGTCCGATGTGTCTTAGGTCTCCAAAGAAAGATAGACCTTCGGTGAGGAGCCGAAGGCTGGGTGTGCATCTGTTTCCCGGACTCAAAAGTCTCGAATCCTGACATAGCCGGTAAGGCCTAGAGTTCAAGCCCAGGGCGTGTCCACCTGCTTCATGGTCTCTCACTGTTACCAAGAGTCATGAGTGAAGGTAGAACTTCTCAGCCCTTGGAACTTCACAGTACTGCCAGAAGCTTTGGTCAAAACGCATCTGTCCCAGCAACCTCTTCAGACTTGGGATGGTGTCCCGAGGTTAAGAGAGCTTTTTGGGAAGGGGCCGGATGCTTAAGATGGGGCAGTGTGTGTTTCCCTGCTAATAAAACTAGTAGTCTTGATGCAAGTTCCTCCAAAATAGTAATTCAACACATCTATATGACTTGAAAGGAGACCCCAGGGTACATCTGGATCAAAGAGGCTTTGTAGAGGAGATCAGCCATGCCTCATGCCCTTTTGAGTATCTTCCTTAAGCTGATAAATGAGTATGACATGGCAGCCAGCCCCAAGTAGCTACAATAAGATCAGCTGCTAAATTATGGATTTACAGCCTATTCAGTGCCTTTACTAATGTACTTAGCTCAAAAATCCCTACCCCCTGAGCTCGGGCACTTTTCTACTTTTAGGGAAGACATAATAGATGTGAATATTATAGCCGGCCAGTGGTGGCATAAGCCTTCAGTCCCAGCATTCAGGAGACAGATGGATGTCTGTGAATTCCAGGCCTGCCCGGTCTACAGAGTGAGTTCCACAGCCAGGACTCTTTCACAGAGAAACCCTGTCTCAAAAAACCAAAACCAGGCCTCGGCAGTGGTGGTGCATGCCTTTAGTCCCAGCACTCAGGAGGCAGAGGCAGGTGGATCTCTATGAGTTCGAGACCAGCCTGGTCTACAAGAGCTAATTCCAGGACAGTCTACAAAACCACAGAGAAACCCTATCTCAAAACCCAATAATAATATTTTCCTTTATTCTTTCTTTCTTTTCTTTCTTTCTTTTTTTTTCCCCCCCGAGACAGGGTTTCTCTGTAACTTTGTAGACCAGGCTGGTCTTGAACTCAGAGATCTGCCTGCCTCCCAAGTCTGGGACTAAGGGTGTGTACCACCACCAGCCCTTTCCTTTATTCCAAAATTCCTACTGGATCTCCACCATATTCTAGTTTGCCTCAAAACAAGTGGTTTTCATTATTATTTTTTTTTAGATTATCTGTGTATGAGTTTTGCCGCATTTATGTATGTGTACCATGTGTGTGCAGTGCAGAAGGTGTTTTATCCCATGGAATTAGAGTTAATGGTTGTGAGCTTCCATGTGGGTGCTGGGAACTAATTTCAGGTCCCCTGCAAATGCTCTTAACCAATAATCTTCATTATTGAAAGCACCAGATGGAAGCTGGGCATGGTGATGCACACCCTTAATCCCAGCTCTGAAGAGGCAGTCTGGTGATGGATCTCTATGAGTTTGAAGCCAGCCTGGTCAACATAGAGAACTCATGTCTCCAAAAACAGAACAGTAACAATTTAAAAAAAAGTTCTAATCCCATCCATGAGGGAAGAACTCTGATGACCATATCATCTTTGGGTACTGTTGCATTGGGGATTAAATTTGAACATGATTTTTTTTAAATTTATTTATTTTGTGAGTGCATATTTCAAAAGACAACTTTTGGCATTGGTTCTTTTATGTGAGTTCAGGGTTCTTAGATTATCAGGTTTGGCAGCAAGCATTTTTAACACTGAGCCATGTCATTAGTCTCAATTTTTTTTTTTTTTTTTCCTTTTTGAGGCACAGTCATCAGGCTGATGTCAAAATAACTCCCCTGCCTTAAACCTATTAAGAGGCTTGAGGTGTGTACTAACACACTCAATCTTTTTTTTTTTTTTTTGACAGGGTTTCTCTGTAGCTTTTTGGAGCCTGTCCTGGAAATCACTCTATAGATCAGGTTGGCCTCGAACTCAGAGATCCAACTACATCTGCCTCCCAGGTGTTGGATTTAAAGACATTCACCACCACTGCCTGGCCACACTCAACTTCTTTAGAAAAGTTTTTATATTTATTAATGGTACGACTGTTAGACGATAACTTAAGGAAGTGTGTTTTCTCTGCCATGTGGGTTCCAGGGATTGAACTCAGGTCATTAGGCTTGACAGAAGTATATTTACTTTCTGATTGTTGGCACCCAATCTCTTCTTAAAACAGAATGTTTTTCTGCATGTATTTGTATATGCTATGTGCATACATGCCTGAAGAGGCCTGAGAAGATTATTGGATCCCCTGCAAATGGAGTTGCAGATGGTTATGAGTTGACATGTGTCTGCTGGGAACTAAACCTGGATTCTCTAAAAGCAGCAAGTGCTCTTGATTCCTGAGCCACCTCTCCAGTCCCATACTCAACTTTTTAACATTAATTTTGGAGGTCAAGAAACATTCAAACCATAGTGAGGCATAAAACTGGATAAGGTCACTCTGGAAGCCAGGCAGTGTGACATACACCTTTAATTCCAGCACTCAGTAGACAGAGGGTGGCAGATCTCTGTGACTTTGAGGCCAGCGTGGTCTACAGAGCGAGTTCCAGGACAGCCAGGGCTGTTAGACAGAGAAACCTTGCCTCACAAAACAAAACAAAACAAAACAAAACGACCACTATGGAAGAAATACTGACAGAAGAGGAAAAGGCTGAGCCTTGAATATGCTTATATCAAGGGTGAAAATAACTGGAAAAAGCACAACATGGTAAGGAGAACTAAGATGTCAGCTAGGAAGGAAACCCAGAGAAGGTGGTAGCCTAGAAGCCAGGAAAGGACAGTGTGTTAGTAGCAGACACTTAACAATAGGCAGGAAAACAATGGATTTAGTGTCATGGGGTCACAAAGTACCTTGAAATGTATGGTTTTGGTTGAGGAACAAGTGTCCATGTGCTGAGAAGGAATAAAAGGCTGGGCATTGTGACATATGCCTGAATTCCAAGCATGATTGTGGCAGAAGTGGGAAAGTTTAAATCCATCCTAGACTGTGTAGTAAATTCCAGGTCAGCATGGGATCTCTAGCAAGTGCCAAGCTAATCTGAGCTATACAATGAGACCCTTTTTAAAGAAAAGATTAACAAGCCTATAATTTCAGAATTTGGAAGATGAAGGTCAGAGAATCAGGAGTTTAAGGTGATTCTTAGCTTTATAGGAAATTTAAGGCCAGCCTGCACTAAATATGACCCTGTGTCAAAAACAATGTTAAAAAAAAAAAAGGAGAATTGGGGACAATAAGAAACAGCTCTTCTGAGATTTTGATGAAGAAAGGAACATAAGTAGGATCACAGCTAGCAAGAAGAAGATGGCCAAGGGATGTTGTACAGTGGGAGAGAAATATGCTTGTTCACCACTGGAATGGGGCTGGTAAGATGGCTCAGTAGATAAATCCATACAAGCCTGGCGACCTGAGTTGAATCCCTGAAACTCATATAAAAAAGTGGAAGGATTGCTGAGGAGAAAGCTGCCAAACCTTTTGACCTGAGTTCAATCCCTGAGACTCATTCAAATGGTAAAAGGAAAGAATTGACTCCCAGACTCCAAAAGGTTGTCCAGGTGTATTGTGGCATGCATATGCTTCTCACAATAATAAAGTAGGTGTAGTGGTACATGCCTTTAATCCAAGTAGAGGCAAGTGTATCTCTATGAATTCAAAGCCAGCCTCATTTACATATCGAGTTCCAGGATAATCAGTACTACATAGAGAAATCATGTCTCAATAAATAAAGATAAATGGATAAAAATGTAAAATCTTAAATCATTTTTGTAGCTGAACTTGTTATTTCATGCCTTTAATCCCAGCACTTGGTAGGTAGAGGCAGGTAGATCTTGAATTCAAGGCCAGCCTGGTCTGTGTAGTGATTTCCAGAACAGCCAGGGCTACATGGAGGGGGAAAAAATGTTTTTTTTTCTGGTGAGATTTAAAAATAATTATATGTGTTTGGGTGTTTTGCCTGTATGTATGTCTCTTGATACCTGCTAGGGCCAGAAGAAGACATCAGACCCCTGGGACTGGCATTATATAGACTGTTGTGAGCTGCCATGTAGGTGCTGGGAATCCAGTATGGGTCCTCTAGAAGAGCAGACAGTGCTCGTAACTGCTAAGACACCTCTCCAACTTCAAATTTGTGCATGTGTGCGTGCGTGATATGTTCAAGTGCATAGGGAACCCAGAAGACGGAGTCAAGTCCCTTGGAGCTGCAGTTATAGGCTGTTGTAAGTTCCTCAGTATGAATGCTGGAAATCTTACCTCTAGTCCTTCTCTCCAATGACACACATGCCATTTCATTCTTAGAGAGGAGAGCTAAATGATAATAGGAAAGGGATGGGAAAATTGCTAGAGTGTTATTGTTTAGAAACAAAATGTTCCCCTTTGACAGGACAGGAAGACAGGTAAAATTAAGGAGATGTGGGAAGGAAAAGCACCTCAACCCTAGGTCTAGTTGAAACCTTTTGCCAGAAAGAAGTCAGAAATCCCAGCACGGAGCTGGGGATGTAGCTCAGTTGGTAG